AAATGAAGCTCTAAGTGAGCTCTGTCTTTTTGTTTAAGGTAACAACTAAGGTTAGCTTAGTAAATATTTTAAAATTTTAGAAAAAGTATTTTGCAGTTAAATAAATATATCTCACTGTACAAAGGTCCAGGAGATATAAAACTAGGCCGCCTATATGTAAAATTTAGTTGTGAACAATTTTACTTAGGAGGCTAGAAAAGGTTTACTTAATAAATTATTGAGTTATTGCCAGTTTATTATCAGAGGATTTTGGTACAAGTGATCGTCAGAAAGAGTTAATGATTTGCATCCCAATTTTTACATTGATACTTTATTTACAATTCAATTAATAAATACTTTTACTTGCAAATCACTATTTTAGCCTATATAATGTAGTATTTGATAATTTTAGTGTAATAAATTGATTATATCATGGTTTAAAATACTAAGGTTTTCAAGAATTTCTTAATAAGAATAATGTAGCCAAAAAAATAGATATACATCACTCTGGTTATATTAACACAAATAAAAAAATAAATAAATTGTCTAATATATCAGATGTTGATATAACTAGAGTGATGTATAAATGCATAAATTAGTACAATATAATACCAATACATATTTATTTATACCTCACTAAAAAATAACAAAGAGAGATAAAACAAAACTTCAAAGTGTCGGTTTCCAATTGAGTAACCCTATTTCATAAATTATTTTTTATATGCTTATAATAAAAATTCAGTTTAGCATAATTTTAACTAATGATTAGTGATATAATATAACAATAAAGCTGATTTGTCTATAAATTTTTATTTCATGACTAATATTATTAATAAATTAAAAAGAAAAAAAGGATACATTAATCAATCTTTAAAAAAAAAAGTTGCTTAAACATTTGAATGTATAAATGATGCTTGAATTTAATTATAAATTCAGTATATTGTTTAAGTAGTTTATCTAAAGATCATTTTGAATAAGTGAATAAAAATAAAACTGCATCTATAATAGCTTGATAATAACAGTTAATATAGATAATTAGTGAATGATTAGATAAATTGTTAGTAATATTCTCGAAACCCTAATTAAAAACCATTATTGTTAAATTTGGGTTATGTTCAAGAATAATACTGTATCTGAATTAATAGTATGCCTATTTGAAACATTACATAAATATCTGCATTGTAATTGTTGCTGCTTATATAGATGCTAAAATCTAAAAAGATTATTATTAGGTAATTACAAGTAGCTACAAAAATATTAGAATTTAACCAATTTCAAATATTGGTATTCATTGTGAAATACTGTAATATTAAGTGCTAAAACCTTATATAAATAATTATGATTAAAAATTGTGTGAAATACAAATCAAATTATGATGTCAGGATAAGTGACCGAAACCTTGCACTGTTGAAACACTAATCATGACATAATATTAAAATCATATCTGAAACCTTGTATCATCGATTTGTAATTAAACTTTTCTTCTGATTTGATTCCAAAATAAAAATTTTCTTACTATTACTATATAAAAAAAAAAGTAATTGTTATTAAATTTAATTATTTGGATTTGAAACACTAATCATAACATAAGTAGATATTAAAATAAGCATCAGAAACCTTGAATCATCGATTTGTAATCATAATAATTTTAATCTTTTCTTACCAATTTGCTTCTAAAATAAAAATGTCCTAACTGTTACTATATATAAAGAAGTAATTGTTGTTAAATCTAATTCTTTGGATTTTGCAAAACTCTGTTCTGATTGTAATATTACTTCAAGAATGAAAAATATCTAAAGTAATTATAGAATTAATTTTAAATAACATTTCTTATTCTGAAACTATAAATACAAAGTCCTTAAATATCTTTAATTCTATTATAAAAAATGCACTACTTTCTAACTACAAATATTTTATAGAACATTTTGAACAAATAATATAACACAACTTTTTGGGTGCTTGTGAAAGTTTTTTTAAGATCAACTGCAATATAAATATTTTTACAGTTGAAGAATCTCAAGTATCGATTCAACGATTTATGGATTTGCATAAAGTAACAATAAAAGAGGTCTGTGAATATAATATCAAAGGCATACATTATATCCTATCTAAATGGCTTCATTGTATCTATAGCTATAGTGTGAAAATAAAATAAGGGGAAAAAAGCAATAACAAAACCCACATAGAAAATACACAGATGTGAGATACTAATTGCCCTTCAACATTAAGTATTAAATTACTCAAAAGATTAGATCCTTACCTATGTATTATTTCTTTATATTTTTATTATAATTATCTTCTAAAGTCTGGTCATGTTACAAGTTTCCGTCCAATATCTAATGAAACAAAAAACAAGATCTTTAAGTTATTTGAAACTGGTCATAATTCTAGTAGCACATATCATACATATTGGGAGCAATTGCAGTTAAATTATGAAAATAATAAAGAGATCTTAGCTGACAGAGCAATAGCATCACATAAAAATGATGTTTTTTATCTTTATAAAAAATATCATGATCAACACTTAGGTGCTAAAAATAGTGATGAAATGTTTAATCAATTAGCGAAAGAAATTGCAGAATTTAATAATAATGATAAAAAAAAGGCTTGGATGCAAACATACATTGCTCCAGAGAAAGATAATCCTAGACAGCCCTTTATTCTTGTTATTTTAACAAATCTTATGATACATTGCTATGCATTACAAAAGGTAGGTGAGTTAGTCTATATGGACATGACGACCAGGTTAGATATTCTTAATACACCTCTAACAATTCTTTCAATAAGTACACCTGCCAGTGGCCTATTTCTTGGTGTAATTTTTACTTCAGATGAATCAGCAAATACTTTTACTAAAGCATTAGATGTGTTAAGACATTTGATTCTATCAACAGTATTTGGTAAATGCAGAGGTACTATTGGGCCACAGGTGATAATAACAGATGACTATAAGGCGAAAGGGCAGCATTGCATAATACCTGGAAAGATGCAACTTTGCTTTTGTGTATTTTTCATTTCTTGCAAGTGATGTGAAGATGGATTCGGGATGGCAAACATGACATTCACAATAATGATTGCTTAACTTTAATTGAACATGTAAAAAAAATACTTTTTGCAAAAACAGAGTTAATGCTTAATACGGCATACATGGATTTTATTACAAACCCAATCTATTCAAAGTATCCAAACTTCCAAACTTATTTTAAAGCTTCTTGGGATTGTCGATATGAGTGGGCTGTTGTATTTTGTCAGCATTTGCCAATTCGTAATAATAATACTAACAATTTTGCAGAGGCTGGCATTCGAATTCTGAAAGATATTGTCTTTAAACGCATACAAGCATATAATGTAGTACAACTTTATCAATTCATTATCAATACAATAGATCTATATTATATTCGTAGGCTATTAGCAATAGCTCATAATAATTTGGATAGCTTTATTGCACTTCATTTTAGACTCTCTAGATGGTCAATTGGGATTAAAGATAACATAGAAATTGTAAACCAAAGTGTGATGGTTTTTAAGCATAGAAGCAGCAAAAATAAAGATGTATGGTACTTAGTTGATATGCGACTCGAAACTTTTGAGTGTAGTTTAATGCGAATGCTGTGCAAAGATCAAGATTCTATAGCAAAACATTTTCATATTTGCAGAGTAAACCAAGTATCTACAATGTTTGCTAGTAAATAACATTATTATGCCTATCTGGCATTAGGTGAAAAATGAAAGTTGATTGATTTTTATGTGGGTCTTCATCAAGAACAGCTTGAAAAAAAGGAAGCTACTATGAATAATAATATTAATATATATGTCGATGATGCTATTGATCTTAATAAGAGTAATAATAATGATTATATTAATAGTAGTGCTAGTAGTAGTGATAACAGTAACAATGATGAGAGTACTAGTAGCAATAGTAATAATGATATTGGTGATGATTATATTAATATCAATGACAAGAAAAATGCTATAAATAAACTTAATTGGTTCTGTGATAATTTAAAAAATCTTTTAAACAAAATAAACATGCATTAAATAGTGCTATTTAGAGGTTTGTTGAAAAATACAAACAATATTGGTCTATAAAAAATACTTACAACCTTCCATCAGTAGTTTCATTCCTTCAAACCTGTGGTTAGGAAGCAGGTTAAGTAAACAATAGCATCTATTAACATGGAGGAAAAAGAATACAAGTTAAGTTGCCACTGCTTCACGACATAAAGTTAGTTTGAACCATGGACTCAAGAAAGCACACCAAGGAAGACTAATAAAAAAATCAAAAATTAGTATTGAGATACACGAACTTAATCATTCGATTATGCTAGCATGAAAAAGACATATAAAAAAACATCCACATAACTTGCATCAAGCATTAAAAGAAAATCGACCTAATGGCATAAAGTAAAATAAATTAGCTAGTCTGTAATGCTTTAAAAAAATAAAAAAATCATCACAAATATTAAAAAAAAAAAGAAAATAAGAAAATAAGGTAATATACTATCGATATAAGGAAATAAGAAAATTTGTTTAAGATATTATCACTATAAGAAGTAAGAAGTTTTATTTAAGGTATTATTGCTATAGCGATAAGAAAGTAAGAAATATAAAATACTACATAAATCAAAGTATATGTAGAATAAACCAAAGTTTTTTTATACAAATCTCGATTTTTACTTGTGTTATCATTAATTCTTTATGAATTTTTTTAGCAGTCTAATAATTTATAATAAAATTTTGTAGAGACTAATATTATATTTCTACAAATGAAACTATTGAACTTTCTTTTTATTAAACACAAAAAAAAATTTTAAACTACTATTTTAGATCAGTTGTTAAGTTTTTATTAAATGTAAATGAAAAATAGCTTTATAGTCTATTTGTAAAGATATAATATTGTGATGTTGTATGTCTATTCGAAATATCACAAGAGATAAATTTAATTTGTATTGTTATATTAATATGTATTATATGTATATAGATGTTACATATAGATGTTATATAAAATTATGCATGATGATCGACAAACCAGGCACAGATTTAAAAATCGCTAGACAAAGTAGTTACAACAAAATATGAAAAATGGACAATTATTTTTTCTACTACTAACATATCTACATATTACATTATAACACTAAACCTAGAAGAGGTCTGATAGCCTACTCTTGCTCATATCTTTATTGGTAGTTTAAAAATTAGTAGCTACATGGAGCTGCTATGTACAAAAAGTAATTTTTATATAAATGCTATGGCTAAAACCAACACTTGCAGTCAGGACTAAACAATTAAACTGCTAACTATATAGCTACTCTAAGTACAAGTAAAAGAAAAACTACATTCAAGAATAAAAGCTCAGACATATTTATCTATAACCTAAACCTACTAGAGTGATCAAGACTCACCTAGATTTGTAAGTTTAAAATATAGTTATAAGAAATATTATATTTGATTCAAAAGATAATCCAGATGTTGATTTTACAGATAGCATAACTGATAGGTGAACAGGTATTAGAGTTAGAGTGTAGTTGGTCAGGTAGCCCACATAAACAAAAATAAGTATAATTTTTGCGATTAGAGTTTCTTTTGTTATTTTGATTTGATTGAAATGAGGGTCTGGCATAGGATGGTTTAAGTCCTTATTGTTGTTTTCAGTTAGCAAAGTTTATATAATATGGTTTCTATATTTGTTCATAAGAAAGTTTATTAACTTTAAGCAGAATAGCAATAATTGTTTGTAAGGCTAGTTTGTATAGGATGTTAAAGTTTTGTACGTTCTCAATTAAAGATTTAGGGATAAGTCCTTTAGGTATGATATCAAGATAGTATTGATTAGTTTGAAGAGGTATAGGGTAGAAGGTGTAGTAGTTACTGATTTTATGAATAAGTTCTTCTTGTTGGTTTATAGATAAATCAAAATCTGTATGATTGATATATTCAGATATGCTAGTTTGGATAATATTGGAGATAAGTAATAGGTTTGAGCATGTATGCCAATGGTTTAAAAAATCAGCGAGATTACAGTTAAAACAGTTAGTATTGTAAAATATGTGTGAATAGGTTTTGTGAAAATAAAAATAAGTAGGAAGTTCATTTATAAGGTTTTAATTTTGAAAGATTTAAGGTAGTTGAGTTTAAAGTTTATAACATTATGAGTTGTTTTTTGGTTATGGTTAAAAAAAGACCAAGCTAATTTCCAATCAATTTGAAAAACCAAGGCTTTCTATTCTCTGTTATGTTTTTGGAAGGACCACATTGCTAAAATCTAGGCTCTGCAGATATTTTTAGTGAAGCTTCTAGTTGGGTGTTCTATAAAATGTTGGTCCCAAAGAATTATATGATATGGATTGTAAATGCTTGTGTAGTTAAGATATAATATAGGTAATGAATTATGTTGTTTTGCTAATGAGTCTGCTAAATTATTAAGAATGTTATCAGAGTGAGCTTATACTTTGTGAAAGTTAATCTGATGGTTATAAGATTTGATAATATTAAGCAGAATATGCCATATTGGCCATGAGCTGAATTTGAAAAGCTTATTAAGGTTTGAAAGAGTAGTATATATTTTTGAATATTTAGTAATTATAGACTAGGAATCGGTAAAGATGTTAATTATTGAGTTGTGAGAGGTAATTGAAATAGCTGAAAGAATTGATATTAGTTTAGCTTTGTAAGAAGATGGCTAGTAATGGATTTTAGCTGAGAATTTATAGATTATTTAGTTAGAATTATTAACTTGTACTCATCCAATACCCATTGTACATTGATCTGTACTGATGTTAATTACAGAGCCATCTGTATAGAAGTTAAATGTATTTTGTGCTGTATTGGTAAAGGAGTATTGTTTGAGTGTATGTGTGGCTTCTCCTTGCTTAAAAATTTCTAATATAGAGGAGTCGGAGATATAAATAGTAAGGACAGAAGGTAGAGATAGTGGATGTTTAATTGCAGTTGAATGAATCAGATCAATAAAGTTTGCATTGAAGTTAAGAGTATTAGAAGAAACTCTTTCAAGAAATTGAGTAGAGATTATTGATGATACATTAATTATACAGCAGTTTGCAACTCTGTAGGAGTTAAGATAACAACCTGTACAGGCTAAGCATTAAATTAATAAAAAGAGATAGTGAGTAGAGAGTTCTGTATTAATATTTGTTTTCCAGTATGTAATAAAGATTTGGTTGTTATTTTTAAAGTATCTGTGAATTTTACCAATAATAATATTATTATTATTGTATGTTAGTAGTTAGAGTTTAAGTTTTTTAGAAATGTGTTGAGAGTTGTAAGCAAAAGGGTTGTGTCCAGTTTGTTAATATTGTGAGAGTAGTGTTCTAGAGCTATTGTTAGTTGTTACAGTATTCTCTAGACATTTAAACCAGGATGGCTTACATTCTTTGAGTAGCTGTATTAAATGAGATAAGAGGTGATTCCATAGAAGTAAAGTAGTATTGTCTGCAGTACAGAGTTGTTCAAGATACAGAATATTAAGTTTTCTAAGTTGTTTTTTAAAGGTAGTATATTGGGGATATGAGAACATGATTAGTTCAAGTGATTGAAGGTTGTATTGTATAGTATTAGGCCAAGATACACTATTATTAGCTGTTATAGACATGTTAATA